CAAATTGATCAAAGACCTCAACGTAAAGCCAGCCACACTGAATCTTATAGAAGAGAAAGCGGGAAGTACACTTGAATGCATTGGCACAGGAGACCACTTCCTAAATATAACCCCAGCAGCACAGACACTGAGAGAAACAATTAATAAATGGGACCTCTTGAAACTGAAAAGCTTCTGTAAAGCAAAGGAAATGGTCAACAAGACAAAACGACAACCTATAAAATGGAAAAAGACCTTCACTAACCCCACATCAGACAGAGGTCTGATCTACAAAATATACAAAGAACTCAAGGAATTAGTCATCAAAGAACAAATAATCCAATAAAATAATGGAGAGCAGGCCTAAACAGAGAACTCTCAGCAGAGGAATCTAAAATGGTTGAAAGATACTTAAGGAAATGTTCAATATCTTTAGTAATCAGAGAAACCCAAATCAAAACAACTCTAAGATTCCATCTTACACCTGTAAGAATGGCCAAGATCAAAAACTCTGATGGCAACTTATGTTGGAGAGGTTGTGGGGTAAAGGGAACACTCCTGCATTGCTGGTGGGAATACAAGCTGGAACAGCCCCTTTGAATGTCAGTGTGGTGAGTTCTCAGAAAATTAGGAAGCAACCTTCCTCAAGACTCAGTAAGACACTTTTGGGTATATATCCAATGGATGCTCAATTGTGCCACAAAGACATGTGCTCAACTATGTTCATAGCAGGAGTGTTTGTCATATCCAGAACCTGGAAACAACCTAAATGCCCCTTGACCAAAGATTGGATATGGGAAATGTGGTACATTTACACAATGGAGTACTACACAGCAGAAAAAAATAACGGCATCTTGAATTTTTCAGGAAAATGGATGGAGCTAGAAAACATCATTTTGAGGGAGGTAACCCAGAAAGACAATTACCACATGTACTCACTCATAAGTGGTTTTTAAACATAAAACAAAGAAAACCAGCCTACAAACCACATTCCCGGAGGACCTAGACAACAATGGGGACCCTAAGAGAGACATCATAGATCTAATCTACATAGGAAGTAGAAAAAGACAAGATCTCCTGAGTAAATTGGTAGCATGGGGACCTTGAGGGAGGGTTGAAGGGAAAGAGAGTTGTAGGGAGGGAAGCAGAGAAAAATGTAGAGCTCAATAAAAATAATTATAATAAAAAAGAACTGGCTGAGAAAAATACATTGCTTGCCTTGCACTTTGTTAATCTATGACAAGTTTTTAGACATAAATGTATGCAGTTCTTTGGGAATAATTTGTTTTCACCTGTAATATGTAAAATGTTTAATCATGCTACAGTAATGGGGAACATGCTGCTTTTCATCATAATCATTCACTTGAGGAAAAATTGAATGTAACCACATTGCCATTTTTATTTTGCTTGAAAGATTTTTTAGGGGGCATAAAAATTAAAAAGAGAATAATAACAGAGGTAGAAGGAAAACATCAGCTAAGATGAAGAAGGAAAACAACAGGGTAGGTGAACAGAATAAAGAAAGAGCAGATTAGGAGCAGCCGAAAGAGAAAAATAAAGAATGACATTTTGACCCCTCAGATAGTCTCCAGGGTGGGGGGCGGTTTCACCTATTCCACACCTCCTCCTCAGTACCTGATCTGCTGGGGTTCCCTGGGCAGTGAGGTACGACTTTAACATTCTGATTGCATAAAGTCAACAGTCACGAAGTTATTGGAAATGAAGAAGGTGTGTAGAAGTTTCTTTTGATTGGAATACGATGATTTAAGTTTGTTTCTATACACCTAAACCTCAGATGCATAGATTTAGTTGGGTTCATATAACATATTTTAGGAAAGGGTATTCATTTTAGAGGACCTTTGCAGTAGACAACAAAAACAGACTAAAAACCAAAACAACTACTCCTGCCCCCAACAACCCAGGACAATGTAATATCACCAAGGAATAGGAATTTGGAGGTGAAAGAGAAATAAAGAGAGAACCGAGTGATTGTTCCATTGTAGGAGAGGTGGGTGTAGAACGAAACAGGTGGCGAAAGGCACAGGAAACAGCAGCAAGCAAGTCTAGGCAAAATTGAGGAAGTCATCATCTCCCAACAGTTAGGAGGAAAAGAACCAGTAGTTTGGATAATATGCTAAGTTTCATCAAAGATGACTGCTACATGGACAGGAGGAGCCATTCATACCCATTTCAGGAACACTTTGGTAAATTAGCAGAAGTGAAAGCCAGCATCTAGTGATTCAAGGAACTAGTGGAGATGAGGAAGAGAAAAGGGGAAATTCAATTTCTAGAGGAAAGGTGAGTTAGCTTTAAGTTAGGTACACCATGAAAGTGTGGGTACACTGAGAAGTCAGAGTTCACTGGGGCCGAGGGAAAGGAAAGGAAAGAACGAAATCAATCTCCTTTTGATCAGTGTCGGGCTCTTTTCTAACTTCCATGCTCGGGAAACCAGGAACTTCTCTGAATTAACTCATTTCTCCCTCTTCTTTCCTGGGCTTTGCACATATTTCATCAAATTTATCACCTAAGATGTAGTCTTTAGTGTGTCCTACATTAAATGCTGGAGAGTCTCCAGGGTCATGGATCTGTCCTGTCATCCAGCTCTTCCTGTGGATATTTGTGGTCATAAAATCACTAGGAGTGAGATTATATTGGTTGTTGGGTGATGGATTGTGTGTGTGTGTGTGTGTGTGTGTGTGTGTGTGTGTGTGTATGTGTGTGTGTTAGGGTCTCATATAGCCCAGGTTAACCATGAACTAAACAAACCAACTACACTAACTTGTATAGTTAAGGATGACCTGAAACTTCTGATCTTCCTCATTCTAATTCCCAAGTGCTAGGGCCACAGCCAGAACACTATGGTGATGAAGAATCTTATCTAGGCAGCCTCTAACTACTCAAGTAGTTGAACATTTATAGACTTGGTTTTTGCAAAGAATGTAGGAAGGTGAAATAAAATTGAGACTTACTACTATAAGGAAAGAATGCTTTTTTATTCTGTTTTACACCTTTGTTTACAAAATATTTTCAGCTTCTTGAAGAAAAAGCAAGCATAAAAGAACTGAATTTTGTATACTTTGGAGATCAGACCTTTGTCTGATGAGGGGTTGGTGAAGATCTTCTCCCAGTCGGAAGGTCACCTTTTTGTCTTACTGACAGTGTCTTTTGCTTTACAGAAGCTTTTCAGTATCAGGAGGTCCCATTTATTCATTGATTCTCTTATTGTCTGTGCTACTGGGTTCTACCTAGGAAGTGGTCTCCTGTGCCCATGTCTTGTAGACTACTTCCCACTTTCTCTTCTATCAGGTTCAAAGTGGTCAGATTAATGTTGAGGTCTTTCATCCATTTGGACTTTAGTTTTGTGCATGGTGATAGATACGGATCTTTATGTGGGCACTTAGTGCTATGAACTTTCCTCTTTCATTGTGTCCCATAGGTTTGGGTATGATGTGTCTTTGTTTTCAACGAATTCAAGGAAGACTTTAATTTCTTTCTTTATTTCTTTCTTGACCCAGGGTTGGTTCAGTAGTTGGCTGTTCAGTTTCCATGAGTTTGTAGGCTTTCTGGGGTTTGAATTGTTGTTGAATTCTAGCTTTATTGCATGGTGATCCGATAGTACTCAAGAAACTAGACACTAAAACTCTAATTAACCCAATTAAAAAATGGGGTACAAGACCAAACATTCAAAGGAAATGAGCCCAAGAAAAAGTACAAAAGTCAGAGTTCTACTCAGTCACACACTCAAGAATCCCATAAAAACACTAAATTGAAGGCCATAATATATACACAGAGGACCTGATGCAGGTTGTGTAGGCTCTGTGAGTTCATATGAGCATTTATCTTGTTGATTTAGAGGGCCTTGTTCTGGTTTCCTCAGTCCCCTCTGGCTCTTACACTCTTTCTGTCTACTCTTCTGAGGGATTCCCTGAGCTCTGAGGAGAAGGGTTTAATGCTGCAGGAGCTCCTTCCGCTCCTTCAGCCAACAGCCGCTGAGATACCAGCCCATTGGGGCGTGGTCTCTCTCTCTTTAAAAAAGCAGCGGCTGTCCTCCACTCTCTCTCTGGCTTCCGGCTCTGCTTCCGGCTCCTAGACTCCTTTCCTGTTGGCGCAGAGGGGTTGTTGTCTGGGACGGTAATCTGTAAGTTTTTTCCCCTTTGAATAAATAACCATTCTATTAATCATAAAAAAAAGAACTGAATTTTTACAGGATTGGAGTGTACAAAACGGCATTCACTTGAAAGGTAAAAACCTAGCATGCCTCAAGTCATCATTTACAACAAGATTCTCGGGTAGATCCATCAGCAATGGGCACCGTGGGGGCACAACATCACACCACATGCTCAGTACCAGCTGCCTGGGAGTCCTTTTCAGAGGTTTCCAGTCAGGCAGGATTGGGATGTGTGGACGCCTAGTGTCAATGATGGAGAGTTTCAGGGAGGGAGAGCCAATGCCGGCATAAATAGATGTTAACTAGAAACAGAAAGGAGCGTCAGAAAGTATAAAGCAGATTTGATGGTGTGCATGTGAGCATCTTCAGGGAGTCATCTCAAGTGTTTAAGATTTTATTTTTTAATTAAAACACATATCTATGCCTGTGCCTTTGTGTGGGTTTGTGTATGTGAGTGCAGTGCCTGTGGAGGGCAGAGGAGGGTGTCGGATCCCTGGAGCTGGAGTTATACGTGGTTGTGAGCCTAAGGTTGTGAGTGATAGGAACTGAACTCCAGTCCTCTGCGAGAGCAGTGCACACTCTTAACCACTGAGCCTTTTCTGTAGAGTCCCTCAAGTGTTTTCAGGGTGTGTGTGTGTGTGTGTGTGTGTGTGTGTGTGTGTGTGTGTGTGATCTTTCTCAGTTACAGTGTTTACAGACCATAATTTACTCAATATTTTTGTTTTTGTTGTGTTTGTCAAGACAGGGTTTCACTGTGTAACAGCCTTGGCTGTCCTGGAACTAGCACTGTAGACCAGGCTGGCCTGGAACTCACAGAGATCCACCTGTACCTCTGTCTCCCAGGTACTGGGATTAAAGCCTGTGTCACCACTGCCTGGCAATATATAAAGCATGTTTTCAATCTCAATTGGCAGATGTGTTCAGGTGATTTTCATTGGTCAATAAAATGAGAATGAATCTGATTCTCTAAATACAGGAGGCCATTATGTGTTCATCTTACAAGGAGCTGTTATTTTCTATGATCTGGTTCCAAAATGATAAATGTGGCAAAAGTTGAACAGAATTATTGTTACCCATGGTCAGACTCTTAGGATATATACAAATGAGAAATATTTGTTGTTGTAAGTTATTTGAATATTGTGCATGGCTTCTTCTAGTGTATATGAGATATGATAACTTTAGAAATATATTTTGCTGGGAGAGTAAAACCTCTGAGTATCTGTGACTGGAATAAAGTGGTATGTAGGAATATTTATCACCATGGAAATACTCAATAGGTTTAATAATTACACAGGACTGTATATACTCTGTCATATCTGGTTTCCTTTCTTGAAGTATTCAGGAAGTTACTTAATGAAGAATGGTGTGGGAAGGGGAAGGTCTGTGGAAGGATCAGGTGTGGGGCAGCAATGGTCTCTTTGAGGGTGTGAAAATTCAAGCTGGGTGACCGTGCAGAGCACTGTCTTGACTGGAGCCCAAGTATTGAGAGGAATGCCAGCATGCTGGAGAGAATGTGTCTGGATTCAGAAGTGAGTCTATAAGCAGCAGCCTGGTGTGAGACGTCAGAGCCTGAGAGGTGAGGAGGGAAGCTCTGCTATGGAGCTGTCACTTGGAGGGAGTCTGTGCTCAAGCATAGCGAGGAAAGTAGCAACTCATATGTCCCCTCCTGTGGGGAGTCAGAACTCCAAATAGGTGTGTGTGTGTGTGTGTGTGTGTGGAGGAACTGATGGGTGGAACTGGGCATTTGAAAGGGTGAGGAGGGCACCCGGGCAGAGTGTGGAGGGCATGCCAGCATTGGTGTTAGCTCCATTGTGGGTTGGGATTCAGGACATAGAGGTTGAAAGGAGCTTCTTTGCACAAGGCAGACCAGGTGTGGGTAAAGAGCATCTCTTTGGTGGACATCAATGTGGGACCTTAGTGTCTAGTATGGTAAGGAGAGAATACTTGCCTGATTGGGGATATCCAGGGATTGGGTCTTGGTGGTCAGATAGGCCAAGGACGGTGTCTGTGCAGAAGGCAGAGCTGGTATGGGTTTCAGAGACTGGCAAGGTAAGAGTGCTGTCTACCTGGGGTATAGCTCTGTGTGGCCCCTCCATACCTTCAAGAGTGATGGGGGCTTCTGCCTATGGAGGTGACCTTGGCAGACTGCTAAAGCCTCAAGGGGAAGTGGAGATGCCTCAGGGATTAGCACTAAGAGTCAGAGGACAAGCCTGGTGAAGGAGGCTTTCCTCAGCCATGGGGTGAGAACTTCAGCAAGGTGTCTGGTCCTGAGAGGGAAAGTCCAGCTAATGGAGGAAGACATCGGTGCAGAGGACATAGGCTCGACCTGAGGCTGGAGCCAATCCTGGAGAGGCAGGCGTAGTGGAGGATGTGGGAGGGTGATGGACAACATCCTAGAGATACTACTTGAGAGCCAGCAATCTAGATAATGAACGTAGTTTTTTTTTTTTTTTCCAGCCACAGGTCTAGGTTAGAAATGCAGAAATTTGGGAAATAAAATGGAACCTGTGGCATCACATTAAAATGGGGGTAATAGTGTCAGCTCATGTTTTTTAGTTTGTTTGAATACAAACTGGAGAGAAAACCTAGTAATACAAATTAAATGAGTGTGTGTGTGTGCGCACACACGCTTATGCACCTGCTGTTTGCTTGCTATGTGTGTGAACATGGGAGTAGCTAGAGGGAATCCCAAGAAGGGGAGTGTTTGGAAGAGCTGAAGGCTGCACATGTGGGTCCTAGTTTGTTTCCCCTCCCATGTATTGTGATCCATTAATTCTCACAATCCATTAGTTGTCCCAACAGTTCAGTGAACCCACGAAGCTCCTGCTGAGCAGGGCAGGGAGCCAGACAAGAGAGGCACCAGGAGAGAGACAGCTTCCTCCCACAGCTGCTACCCAGAGCTCTTTCAGGATGTGGCCCGTGGCACGGTGAGTGGAGCGGCCCATGCAGTGAGTTATGAATTCATTTTACGTACTTAGGTGCAGCTTCTGAAGCAACCGTACTGAGCCTTGCCTTCCTGCTGCCGGAGGCAGCTGAGGGGGAAGTGGGAGCCCACACAATGGTGAGGAGGCCAAGAATGTGGTATCAGAATTTGCCTGTTCCGTCAAAATGGATGTCTTTGTGCCTTAAGTGTTTGCTCACGCTGTCTGGTTTCGTCCGAAACCATTTTTTGCTTATAGTCGAGCATGAATTTATGTTTGCTGCAGAGCGTTTTAGGACAGAATTCTCTGAGGGCATGGTTCCTCTTCTCCCCTCCTTCCTGTTTCTTTCCTTCCCCCTTTGAGTTCCCACTTTATAGATTTGCATAGTATGCTGAGTAGGTATGAACGCTGCAATTCTTATTTTCTTGTTTTAAGATGTTGCGACTCTGCGTGTGTGGCCCAAGTGATTCTGTGTTGGGGTTTCTTATCCTCACGTGATCTATCCCAGCGGGAAATCCCTCTTCTCTTATACAATTGTGTAATATGACAACTTATCACCGTGTTCGGTTCTCACATACCACGAGTTTTTGGGAGGAGACGAGGTGCGTTACCTGAGGGAGGCAGGTCTTTTCTTGATATGGCTTCAGAAATCACGTATGCAGAAGTGAGATTCAAGAATGAATCCAACTCTTCAGGTCCCTACTCAGATTCTGCTACAGGTAAAAAATATTCTGGACTTAATGTAGGGGGAAAGATGAAGGAAGGGTGATGTTGGTTACTGATTCTCTGAGTGCTCTTGACTGGGTTTTGACTGGAGTCGCAGTGGGTCGAATTATTTGCAGAGTGACTTTAAGGACGGTAGAGCTGTCTAGTGGGAAAGAAAAGTTTTCTTGGCATTTGTTTTGCTCTTTCTGTTTACAGAAATTATTCCTTGCATCTTGCTGCCTTTCCAGCTATATAAAAATGAACAGAAAACAAAATAATACAAAAAAAAATAAAAAAAACAAAATAATACTTTTCAATATTGAGCTCTCCCCTCTATGCTTGACAGGATATTGCAACTTTACGAAAACTGTTTCTGTGTTTGGAGTTTTTTTTTTTCTTGAAGGAACTTTTTCTTTTATACTGTAGAGCAAAGCAGAGCTTCTCCCTTGGTCGGCAATTGCTCTGCCACTAAACTGTACCTTCATCTAGCAACTGGTTTTCAGTCATGAGACTGGACTAGCAGACTGACCTTAGGCTAAAGAAGTGGAATACAATTAGAAATATTTAGCTCTTATTGTACATGTGTCTTTAATGTTTGGGCAGTCTGGAAGCTATTTGAATACCTAGTGCCGCAACTACAGGAAAGAACACAGAGAAAACACAATGGCATGAAAATGTGCTTATACTGGGTGGTGGTGGCGCACACCTTTAACCCCAGCCCTCGGGAGGCAGGCAGATCTCTGTGAGTTTGAGGCCAGCAAGGTCTACAGACGAGTTCCAAGACAGCTAGGACTGTTACCCAGAGAAACCCTATCTTAAAAAAATGTTCTTATGATACTGTGTAAAGGAAAAATCGTAGGACCGGCAGCAGTATTTGTGTTGTGTTGCCATGTGCGACAACACAGTATGTGTGCACCCTTTCACATTTGCTGAAAGGACCAGTGTGGTGTGATTCCAGCACTCCTGAGGCAGAGGCAGGAGGATCACTGCGGATTTGAGGCCAGCCTGGACTACATATGAGTTCCAGACCAGCCTGGTCTACATAGTGGGATCCTAGCTTATTACACCCCCCACCACCCAAAAAAAACCCATCAAAGTGTTTTGTATATATATATATTTCAGATTTCAAAAATACTAATATCGGTATTTCAATAGTGTGTGTTTTTATTCTTTGTAGTGTTTTTACAATGGACATCATTTTTCTATTATTTAAATATCCACACTGTTAGCAATTGTGAGATGTGGAGGAGAAGGGAGATGAGGAGGGAGGATGGAACTTGTTACTCATGAAATGAATGTGGTTCTCCTTCCAGCTCCCAAAGCGAAGCCCACCCTGCATCTAAGTAAGCCTGGTTTTCCTTCGCTGCTTTTTACATCTCTGATGGCCCTTTTCCTGCTGCTGGCCATCTCATTCTTAGTTGCTTTTATCTGTAAGTATCCCAAGCGAACCACTGGGCGACATCTGCCTTAGGTGAAGGGAGGTTCCTCTGTAGCACTTGACATTTAACAGAATACGAAGAACAGATATTCTCAGAGGGAAAAATAATTCAAGGGATTGGATTGTGACTTTTACTTTGCCCTTGGATTTAGCTATTGTCTTGGGATAAAAGGTATTCTTTCTCACTAGGGAAACTGAAGTGTATTTGTGAGTGTATGTGGGGTTGTGGAGTGAATTCTGTGGAGTGTTGTCTTTGATAGACTGGGAGATCAAATCTATATTTTCTCATTGGCATTGAGAAGTCGAAGTCAAGCTGTGTGTGTAGACAAGCTGTGTGTGTAGACAAGCTGTGTGTGCAGACAACAAACTGTATGTGTAGACAAGCTGCGTGTGACAAGGTCTCCTTCATCTTGGGATGAGCTTGTGGACAAGAAGGAGCTAGGAAGTAATTAACCAAGAACTGTTCTTCAGCTAATTCCTAATTGTTTCTGTCCTGCCCAGGATGAGTAAAATCTACAAGCAAACTGAGCAAATGGGTAAATTTCTGCTCATCAAAGATTAGAAACCCTCTGAAAAGTTTAAATGCATACAAACTAGTATATTTAGGATGTTTTACTCACTCATTTCATCAGTTAGTATCAAGTGGTAGGCCCTTTACTGTGTGTCACACAGTGAGTCAGACAGAGTCCAGGAAGAACACGGACTCTGTTCTCCAGAACCGTAGAGGGAAGTCAATGAATCAGTGGCAGTCAGGTGCAGACACACATTTGTACCAGCTACTCAGGATGTTGAGACAGGAGGACAGCAAGTGCGGAGCTAGCCGGGACTATGTAAAAACTCTGTGTCGAAAAAGAGATAATGAAGAAAAACTGGGCTAGCGTCTGCAGCACTGTCCAGGAAGTCCTGTGGCAACAGAGATTTCCTAGAAGAGGCGACATCTAGAGCTGTATATCAGGAATGTCACAGAGTTGTGTGAGACAGAAGCCTGAACAGTTGAAGTGCTAAGTGAAGAAGCGACATTTCTCTAGGTAGACAAAGCAGGATCAGAGCATGTGTGGTGCTCCTTTATGAAAAGACTTAGTTTTTCTCCTAAATAATATATTTTTTATTAAGTATGCTTTTTTTGCTAAATAAATCAGCATAAAATTAATGAGCTAAGATGACTTATTTATCTTATGTTTCTACAGTATGGCAATTTAGGCCGATCTCCACTAGTTGGCTCCTCTGGTCCTAACTGAACTTAGGCATGCGTATGCGGTCAGTTACAGGTCCAGGCACCTCAGCTTCTGGAAAGAGGAGACCAGCTGGAATGACTAACCGTAAATTCACCTTTATACGATTCCTTGGGATGGCCTGGGCTTGTTTACATAGCAGACTGCAGACTTCCAAGATTGAAGGTGACTACGAGCCAGGCCTTTCAAAAAATTTAATGTGAGTGCTGTAGAAATGGCTGAGTGGTTAAGAGCACTGGCTGCTCTTCCAAAGGTCCTGAGTTCAATTCCCAGCAACTACATGGTGGTTCACATTCATCTGTAATGAGATCTTGTTTCTTCTCTTCTACCTGCAGGTAGACAGAACACTGTATATATAAAACAATAAATAAATAAATCTTTAAAAAATTAACTTACAAGTAGATCAGAGTAGACTTTGCACATTCTCTTGGCTAAAGAAAGAAAGGCTGTGTGAGGCAGCTCACATAGAAGACTTCACCTTTTTTTCCTTTCCCTTCCTCCCTCCCTTCTTCCTTCCTTCCTTCCTTCCTTCCTTCCTTCCTTCCTTCCTTCCTTCCTTCCTTCCTTCTTTCCTTTCTTTCTTTCCTTCTTTCTTTCTTCCTTTCTTCACCGGGAAAATTTCAAAATCATATTGCAATAAAAGTTATTTTTTTTTTTTGCAAAGCCTCATAGTCATGAAGAACCATTGCAACATTCCAAATATAGAACTGATGCAGCTAAATTTAGGTTATCGATGGCACTTTTGCAGAAATCTGAAAATGGAGCCATTAGAACAAAGAGAGAAATGGTGGGAAGGACAGCTTGTAACCTGATAATATGACAAGTGTCTGAAGGGCACGAGAGGAGGTGGCATGGAGGGTAAAGGGCACAGGACCAAGGAAATAGGTTCTTGGTGAATATCAAGGTCCAGGGATTAAGAGGTCCAAGAAGTGCAGTGTGACTTCGATATTCTGATGATGTGAACTCTGCAACAGCAATCATGAAGTCATGAAGAGGTAGACAGTAAATGATAAGTCACAGGTTTAGGTTGGTAGGTGCTGATTTGAGTTTTGGGACATACTGAGTCAAACCTAATATGTTTGAGTTTAGTGAGCACAGAATCTTGCACACATAGGTAGCAGGCAAAACCATAGCAATACATGACATCACTTAGGAAGATTCTGCACGAGGAGGAGGAGGCACAATAACAAGACTGTAAGAAGTGTGACATTTTATAGGAGTGGATGGAGGGAGAAGAGACTATAGGAGACAAGAAGTGATGGTAAAAATGGTGAGCCAAAACCAAGACAACAATGGCATAAAGAACTGAGAAGGAAGAGAAGTGGGGTCAAGTCCAATAGCAAGATGGCTGAAAAGTGCCCTGGGATATTATTGAGGATTCATTTCAAACTTGTTAGTGAAATGGAGAAGGCAAATGTGGTGGGGTGAGGAGGATGAGGACACAGGAAGGAAAGTGAAGAAATTTAGCTCTAGAGAAGTCAGTCAGCTTCAAACCAGGAGAGAGCGAGAGTGTGTGCATGGAGGAGTGAGTCTGTTGAGGTGAAGGGGGTTTAAGGAGGAAAACATGGATCCATAGATACATGTTGGGTTATTTTTTATTTCACATTCTAAAATACCTAGAGCCACCCAGAATTAGCTAATCCCCTTTCCTCCCAAAGCCAAGGCAGTTTATATCCTTAAATATGAGTATCTATGTCTGCTTCCCCTCCTGCAAGAGTTTGTATTTTCATCTTACATTAATCACTGAAGGGTATGACTCACTCTCTTTGGAGCCATGACAACAGGCCTTCCCTGCCTTTTAAATCACTGGTCTTTCTATGAGTCCTGGAAGTACCTGTGATTTAAAATAGGAGTCTGAGGACGCCATTGACAGTGGGATTATGGGGACTGTAGTCAAGCCCTGTCTACTTAGGTAATCAGGACTTAATACCAGTAAACAGAAAATAGAGAGCCACAGTTCTTTCATGAAACTGAATAATTTTGGTTCTGTTTGTTTGTTTTACAGTTTATTTTCAAAAGTACTCTCAAATTCTTGAAGAAAAAAAAGCTATAAAAGATCTAACTCACACAGAATTGAACTGCAAGAATAACCCTTCACATGTAGAAGGTAAGAATTTAATGTGCCTAAGAGTTTGGTTGCTGGCTATAGAGTGTAATGGTTCCATATAGGTCTTTCTTCTTTCTTTCTTTCTTTCTTTCTTTCTTTCTTTCTTTCTTTCTTTCTTTCTTTCTTTCCTTCCTTCCTTCCTTCCTTCCTTCCTTCCTTTCTTTCTTTCTTTCTTTCTTTCTTTCTTTTTTCTTTCCATTTATTCTTCTCTCATCCATTACATCACAGCTGCCATTCTCCCTCTCTCCACTCCTCTCAGTTCTCTTCTCCACCTCCCCTCTCCCCCAGATCCATTCCTCTTCCATTTCACTCCAAAAAGGAGCAGGTCTCTTGGGGACATCAACTGAACATGACATAACAAGTAAGACTGGCACATACCCTCATATCAAGGCTGACCAACGCAAGCCTGTAGGATGAAAAGATTCCTATGAACAGTGCAAGAATCAGAGACACCTCTTTTCCACTGTTAGAAGTTCCCAAGAACACCAAGCTACACAATCATAACATGTATGCAGAATGCAGTCTGGTATCCTCAACCTCTCTGGCTCCTACAAACCCTCCTCTCCTTTTGTGAAGGGTTCCCCAAGCTCTGTCTAAAGTTTGACTGCAGGTTTCTGCACCTGCTCTCATCAGTTGCTGGATGAAACCTCTTGGATGACAATTGGACTAGTCACTGATCTATGAGTATAACAGAATATCATTAGGAATAATTTCATTGATTTTTGAATGATCCCTGCATCTCTGGGATGAAGCTGACTTGACCACAGTTTTTGACGAGTTCTTGGATATGGTTTGGGAGTATTTCCTTGAGTATTTTTGCATCAATGTTCATGAGGGAAATTGGTCTGTAATTATCTTTCTTTGTTAAATCTTTGTGTGGTTTGGGTATCAGGGAGTTTGTGGTCTCATAAAAAGAATTTGGCAATGTTCCTTATGTTTCTACTTTGTGAAATAATTGGAGGAGTAATGGCATTAGTTCTTTGAAAGTTTGGTAGAATTCCATGCTAAAACTGTGTGGTCCTAGGCTTTTTTTAGTCAGGAGACTTTTAATGACTGCTCCTATTTTTTTTAGGGGTTATAGGTCATTTAAATTGTTTATCAAATTTTTATTTAACTTTGGTAAGTGGTATCTATAGAGAAAATTATCCATTTATTTTTGATTTTTCAGTTTTGTGAAGTATAGATTTTTAAAGTATAATCTAATGATTCTTTGGGTTTCCTGAGTGTCTTTCTTTATGTCCACCTTTTTTTGTTTCTGATTTTGTTAATTTGGATATTCTCTTTCCATCTTTTAGTTAGTTTGGATAAGTGTTTGTCTGTCTCGTTAATTTTCTCAAAGAAGTGACTCTTTGTATTGTTCTCTTTGTTTCTATTTTGATTATTTCAGCCTCCGGATTGATTGTTTCCTCCTGCCATCCCCTCCTCTTGGGTGGATTATTTTTTATTATTCTAGAGCTTTCACGTGTGCTGTTAAGTTGCTGGCATAATAACTCTCCATTTTCCTTTTGTAGGCATATGTAGTGCTATGAAATTTCCTCTGGGCAGCACTTTCATTGTGTCCCTTAGACTTGGGCATGCTCTGCATTCATTATCATTGAATTCTAGGAAGTCTTCTATTTGTTTCTTTTTTCTGCCTTGACCTAACAGTCATTCAGTAGAGAGTTGTTCCGCTTCAGTGAGTCTGTAGGCTTTCTGTTGTTGCTGTAGCTGTTGAAACCCAGTTTTAATTAGTGGTAGTCTAATAGGATTTATTTTAATTTTCTTATATCTGTTGAGATTTGCTTTGTGACTGATGATGTGCTGAGAAAAAAGCAAATTCTTTTGCGTTTGGGCAAAATGTTCTGTAGCCATCTGTTAGGTCCATTTGGTTCCTAATGTCTGTTAGCTCCAGTATTTCTCTGTTTAGTTTTTGTCTGGATGACACATTCATTGGTGAGAGTGGAATATTGCAGCCTCTCACTATTGATGTTTGAGGGAAGATATATAAGTTAAGCTTCAGTAGTGTAACTTTTAAATGCATTTAAAAGAAATTAATTGTGTCCTTGCATTTGGTAATCTTGGTGGATTTTTTCTTTGATGAGTACGAAGTGTACTTCCTCATTTCTTTTAATTAATTTTGGTTTGAAGTCGATTTTTCTTGGATGTTAGAATTCCTGTTCCAGGTTGCTTCTTAGTTTGATCAGCTTGGAATAGCTTTCCTCAACTCTGCTCTGAGGTAATGTATATTGAGGTGTGTTTCTTGTATGCAGAAGGATGGATCATATTTTTTAATCCATTCTTGCAGTCTGTGTCTTTTTATTGGGGAATTAAGTCAATCGATATTTAGAAATATTAATGACAAATGATTGTTAATTCCTGTTACTTTGTTGTTGCTGTTATTTTTGGTATGTGTGTGTATGCACATGCTTCCCCTCTTTTGTTTTTGTTGGTGTAAGAGTATTTATTGCCTGTGTTTTCATAGGTGTAGTTAACTTCCTTGGGTTGAAATTTTCTTTCTAGTGTCTTCTGTAAGGCTGGAATTGTGGATAGATATTGCTCGAATTTGACTTCAACATGAAATATCTTGTTTTCTCCATCTATGGTGATTGAAAGTTTTTCTGGGCTGACATTAATAGTCTCTTAGATCATGCAGCGCATCTGTTCAGGCCCTTCTGGTTTTTAGAGTCTCCCTTGTGAAAACAGGTGTAATTCTGATAGATCTGCCTTTATATGTTGCTTGCTCTTTTTCCCTTGCAGCTTTTAGTATTCTTTCTTTGTTCTGTATGTTTAGTGTTTTCATTATTACGTGGTGAGGGGACTTCCTTTTCTGCTTCAATATATTTGGTATTCCATATGCTACTGGACCTTTATAGGCAACTCCCTTTTTTTTTTTTTTAAAAAAAGATTTATTTATTGTATATACAGTGTTCTGCCTGCATGTATGACTGCAGAGCACAAGAGGGCACCAGATCTCATTATGGATGGTTGTGAGTCACCATGTGGTTGCTAGAAATTGAACTCAGGACCACTGGAACATCAGACACTGCTCTTAACCATCTTCTCCAGCCTAAGAACTCCTTCTTTAGATTAGAAAAAAAAATTATTCTATTGTTTTTGTTTCTCCTGATTTCTCTGTCACCTCCATTCTACTATAACCACTGCATTTTAAAAAGATTACTCTATCAATTTTTTTCAATTATGAAATAGAAAAACACATTATTAAAGATATAAAGAGCTATACTTACAACATGTTTGATGATGAACAAGGGGCCCTGATGTTAGTGCAGATGAATGGAGACTGAGGTAGCCTGGCACCTAAGTGGGGGTGCTCCTTGTTGCATCTGAGGAAGTGGGATGTCCCGACACCTATTTAGTCTAAGCACACAGTAGCTTTTAAATGACTTTATGACATTGAACTTACATTTCCTTCCTCCCCAAAGACAAAGTCTGGAGCTGTTGCCCAAAGGATTGGAAGCCATTTAGTTCCCACTGCTACTTCATTCCCACTGACTCGGCAACTTGGAGCAAGAGTCAGGAGAAGTGCTCCAGCATGGGTGCTCATCTGATGGTGGTCCGCAACCGGGAAGAGCAGGTACATCCTGGAAGCGAGTGGGGCCTGGGCCCAGCCTGCTGTCTGCCCTTTTTACTAAGAGGGAGTTTTGTTGACATGGGTGTTGGTGCTGTGGCAGAAGGCTTGCCATCAGGTAGCCGCAAAGGTTGCTTCAGCCTTGGCATTCTACACCCTGCTCCCGCTGAAGTAAACTAAACAACCCACAGGAACCATGGCAACAGAAATGCAGTGTCTGAGGGTGGAGGGAAGGATGGGGTGTTTCTGTTTGAAAGACCAGTTTGTGATTTCAGCACTCTAAGGCCTCCTGTAGTACCAGCTTCCTAACAGAGGAGGGCGCAGAGCTGACTAGGGAAAGAGGATCCAATCAGGAGAGTCACAGCCAACCATCAGAAATGAAATATCTGCAGTTATGGATGGAGAATGATTAAATCTGTAAAATTCTCTCAAGCACAACTTTCAAGAACGGTGTTGGGGAAGAAAAGAGGGGAGTGAATCTGAGAGGAGAATTCATTATGACCATGGACAGAGATTGTTTCTGGTGTCACGGAAATCAGGTCAATGAGGGATGACTTTGTGTCCTGGTCAGCCAGGGAAGATGGCACTCCCGGGGGTAGTGAGGCTCTTCCAGTCCTTGATCCTTTTTTTGTCTTCTCGTCCCTGTGTGACCAGAAAAATGTCAGTCGAACTATCATAGTGTACCTCTGAAATGTACAATTATTGTGTGTTAATCCAAAATTTGAAAACTAATTAAGGGCCTAGAGAGATAAACTAGGATTTGATTATTATGTATTTGCATATGTGTATCTAAAATAATTTTTAAGAGATCTTAACAGATCTATAACAGAAAAAGAAGCACTCAATCCAGGCTGAATGCTATGTCTTTCTTTCCTCTTAGGATTTCATCACTAAGATCCTGAGAAGTGATGCTTCTTATTTTATTGGACTGAGGGATCGAGGAAAACGACAATGGCAATGGGTTGATCAGATGCCGTACAATGAAAGCGCCACGTGAGTCTAGAGTTACCCAGAGGAGTCCTGGGTCCTGTGCCATGAGAAGGCTTTAGGGTTTCCAGCTGTTGGTTATGAAACTACAACAGCTCAGCCCTGGTGTGGGTGCTGGGGATGGAGTTACTCGTCGCAGGAGTCCTGTGAGACCCGTGATGCTGACACTCCAGGAGAGATGAGGAATTGAGTTAGAAGAGTGCAGGATGATAAGTACCCAGGGTGCCCAACCAGGTGCTTACAGATGGGGGTTTATTGTGCTTTCAGTCACTCATCTATATTTGAAAAAGTCGGATGTATTTTTATTTTCATCTGTGTGTCTATGTGTCTCTCTGTGAGTGTGTACCATGTATATGTGGGTGCTCATGGAGCCCATAAGAACGTGTTGGGTTCACTGGAACTGGGGGTCACAGGTGGTATGACTGTACCAATATGAGTGTTGGGAACAGAGCTTTCACATGTTACTTTCACGTGTTCTAGAAAAACAGTAAGCATTCTTAATGTCTGATCCATGTCTTTAACTTTCATTTATATCTTTATGAAGCACAATTAATAATAACTCAGAGAGAGAAATTGATCCAAAAATCAAAGCAGCCAGTCACTGGCTCTTACCTCAACCTCAATCTGAAATGGCGATCCTGACTCCAGGAATCTCAGAATGAGGCTGAGACTGAGAACTGTCCCCTCCCATTTTATAATCCTCTCTAGTTCCAGGATTAAAGATGTGCACCACTACCACCTGGTTTTTATGGCAAACTAGTGTGGCTACTGGGATTAAAGGTGTGTGTCATTACTGCCTGGTCTGTAAGGCTGACCAGTGTGACTGTTTTACTTTTCTGATCCTCAGACAAGCTTTATTTATTAAAATACAAATGAAATGCCACTATATCTTTATAATAAAATTTAATATCAAGATCATAACTGATTATTTCTCATAAATCAAAAACCCTCAGTCTGATATTGTTATGTATCATATTTATATAATTATATAATTATTTAAAAGCTCCAATATGTTAGTATGCTCCTATATTCTATCAGATTTCTGTTGTGAGGTATTTCACACAGTTTTCAGAGAAAAAACTTTTTCAGTTTTCAGAGAAAAAAATAGGAATCCAGGATTTTAAATTATTTTTTTAATTGACAGAAATAAGTAGATTATCTAGATATTTTAACTAGCTCCCCAGTCTCTAAAATAAGACTGATGTAAAATGAAAGAAAGCTTTATTAAAACACAAGAATAAGAAGAGACATTTCCAGCATATAAATAAACACATGGATTGACAGTCCCCGGATACCGAGACCTAGGGATGAAGTAGCCCCTGGGATGTGTGCTGGGAGAACAGTTAAGTAAGAAGCTGAGAGAATATAGAATGCGGCAGGCCCTGTTTTCCAGGAAAAGGTCAGATACGGGTGGTGGGGAACGGTTGATTTGTACACACTAGAATCTGATTTCCACAGATTCCAACCTCATCCCCAGGCTTGCTTACCCTTGCTTTCTCTTTCCCAGCATTACTGTGGAAACACCTGATGCTCTTTCCTCCCTTGCAGGTTCTGGCGCAAAGGTGAGCCCAACAGCGACCGCGAACAATGTGTTATAATAAATCATTCACTTTCTGAGTGGGGCTGGAATGACATCGTTTGCAGTAATGAACAGAAGTCAGTTTGTCAGATGAAGAAAATATACTTATGAAAAAGCAGTCTCCATGGACATGGGGCTGCATTTTTATTTACCATTACACAGATACCTGGAAAGTTTCTCACGTGGAAGAGATGTCCACAGAATTTCATTAGGAAGCGAATGATTGTTATCATATGTACTTGTTTCTTCATCCACTTACTCCTTCATACAACAACTTTTTATTTAGAATTTCCATGAACCAGACCACTATACATTGATCCTTTTGTCCACACCATTTATTCTCACAATTGTATGATATGTTCTCTCCATCTGTTTTTTTCTATGATTTAATCTGCCTTTGGCTTTATTTACTTGTACTTGAGAAATAAAATTCTGTAATTCTGTATATTTAAGATATAGTGTCTGGTTATATATATATATATATATGCTGTGAAAATAGTTATACAAAGCATGTTAACACCATCTATTACTTAACATAGTTGCCATTGTGTGTGCATGTGTGTGTGTGTGTGTGTGTGTGTGTGTGTGTGCATGTATGTGTGTTAAGAATACTTAAGAACTATCTAAGAAAGTTCAGATCCACAGGATGGTGCTAATTGTCATCACTCTGTTGTATCTTGAACCCTCAGATTTTATTTGACAGTTTATGTCCTTTCTTCAACATTTCAGAGATCCCGACATCTGACCCCTTGCCACCCAGATTCTTCTAATTCCTGCGCTTTACGTTTTCAGACATTGTCTGTAAGTGTTGTCATAGAGTGATCCATCTTTGATTGTTTCCTGTAGATGAACACCCTCCACAGTCGTTCACTGTTAACACATCAGTGGATGTTCATTTTATGGTGGACTAGTATCTAATACACACACAGATAGTCATTAAACATTTACGATCCAATAATCTACTGACATGCAGGTTGTTTGCAAGTTTTCACTTTTGTGTGTGATACTGGAAAGAGCATAAATATGGATGTCTTTAGGTGATGATAATTTATGTTATGTTATTTTGTATCCCAAAGTAAGATGGCTACATCATGTGTAATTCCATAGCCAGTGTTTGGAGGTGCTTCTGTACTGGGTTATGTGACAGTTATATCAGTTCAGTTTCCTGGTACCAGTGCATAAGATTTACCCTAAATATTTTGTGTTTTAGCATTCTTAGATATGGATTTTTTTCTATTTCTATGGAACTGCAAAGAACTTTTCTATGATTACCACTTATCCAGCCAGTGCACAAAGCTCTTTTATGAAGTCTAATGTGTGTGTGAGCTATGTATGTATTATGTAGAGATTTTAGGGTTTTCTCTGTAGATGATCATAGTATCATTAAAGAGAGATAGTTACACTTCCATTCCGTGTGTGGGAATGGGAACAGTATGGACAGAAAATGTCCGCTGTTGCTTTCTCCCACTGGATGGATGTTCTCTGCCTGAAGACTACTCCTCTGTAGACACTGCTCCTGTGAGAGTAGCTAAACCTGCATCCATGTTCAGCTGTATGTAATAAACACTCTGGGCTTCTGGGGTGTTGCACCTTCCCATCAGCGAGCCCAACCCACCTGTTCCCAGCCTCTCTGCATCCGTGTCTTTGTCCAGCCTTCAGTGTCTGTCCTTTTTTCATTCTGTCATCTCCCCCAGCCATGACTCTGGAACCCAAGTCATGCAAGATGCAGCACATTGCAAACTGAGACCTTCTGAATTCTTTTCCTTGGCTGCTTTTCCCTGTCAGGTCTTCCAGTGAATAGGAGTGGTGGGCGAGGGCATCGTCGTTCCTGATGCTAAAGGAGCGATTTCAACTTTTCGGTGTTGAATGTGGTGCTGGCTGTGAAGTTTGTCACTAATGTATAGTTCCTTTGATGGGGATTTGTGTCACTAGTGTATAGTTCCTTTGATGGCGATTCGTGTTTCAGGTAGTTGTACTGTCATCAAACATCTTACAGAGCGTCTCCCTGTGTATTGTTCTATCTAATGAGTTGCAAAAAGCATCATCCCTAGCCACCCACACACAGTAGTTTCTGTTTTGTGTGTTGCTCAATTGATGTTTGAGGACAATCTTGGGTTATAATTTAATCTTAGATAATAAAGAATGAGAAAATAAAACCCAACTTGTAATGTAACTTCAGTGCTGCTTAAAAAAAAAACCCACGAACTTACATATCTACTATAAATATGAGAAACATTAAATATATTTTATTTGCTATTTCATGAAAACCACACTAAAATGCCTTTCAGCAAGTGAAAGTTTGCATCTTTTGACACAAGGAATCCTGACTAAATTGTCATAGAAAAGAATACTGTATTCAATGGCTTCCTTCTTCAAACATTTCCCGTAGCAGCATAACAATGACAAAAGGAAACAGGCAAGTCTTGCTCAGCCCCGAGCCAGTGGGGCACAGGTTTCTCAGTGTTCACATAACCAGTTACATAAGTCCACGTGTAAAACAGATCTGCCGTGGCTCCTGAGGTGGTGTTTCCATCTTTGTGGGGAGTTGGACATTAATAATCTAGCCAAATCTGCTCAGAAAAGGAAAGCAGGGGTAGCATTCAGTAAAATGAACCAACTGCTTTTTAGAAAGATCATATTCACTTCACCATGAACCAACTTTACTTAAACCCAACAAAATATTCTGCTAGCCCTTCACCATCATGTATGAATGAAATCACAGGGCAAATTAAAAGTCACAAGATGACTGGTTTACAGTAAGTAGGCAATGGATATTAGTCACCAGTAGCCTCTTTGGCATGAGCTGTCAAATCTCCCTCTTCTGACTTCTTAATCCCAGTCAAATATCAGCTTTGTTCCAGAAAAGTCTTCCATCAGTGTACTACCCTAGAAAACGTCTTTGTGCCTATTGACATTTGGGTAAGAGAACCCAGTGACCTGACCTGGTGCTTCAGTCCAGCCTTGTGCAACCTCTCTTTCCTACAGGATGGCACACTGCTAACCAAAAGCCTTGTCTTTCTCAACCAAACCCATATCTATTTATTATTTTGGTTTCGAGATACAGTTTTACTATGTAGGTTGCCCTGGCTGGCCTTAAACTCACAGAGATCCACCTGCCTCTGCCTCCCAGGTGCTAGGATTAAAGCTGTGCACCATTTTCAATCTGTTGAGAGTCTTTAAAATTATGTATGTGCACTAAGTTTTTCAGATACATTTGATAATTTATTGAATTTGCCAAGATTTCTTTTCTTTTTCATCCAGTTAATGTGGTTCATTGTGTTGACTGGTTTTCATGTGCAATGCATTTGTGTCTGTTATCAATAAACCCAATCTGATCATGGTGTAATCCTTTCAATTTCTGCTAAACTCATTTGCTAGGTTTTGTTTGTTTGTTTTGTTTGGTCTGTAGCAAGGAGACCTGTCAGTCTGAATTATGTCTTCTTTTTTTTTTGTTTGCTTGTTTTTTTGAGACAAGGTTTCTCTGTAGCTTTGGTGCCTGTCCTGGAACTAGCTCTTGTAGACCAGGTTGACCTCGAACTCACAGAGATCCACCTGCCTCTGCCTCCCAAGCGCTGGGATTAGGCATGCACCACCTCTGCCCGGCAAACTATGTCTTCTTATAATATGTTCTTGTCTCACTTTGGTATTTGTGCCTTATAAGACTTATCAAATGACTTTGAAAATGTGTCATTTCTTTAATGTTTTTGCTTTATTTATTTACTATTTGTCATTTGTTTATTTATGGATTATTGAGCTCCTTTACTAAGCATTAGAAGAGAAAAGGTGTTTCTTAGGAGAACAGAGAAGTAAAGGTTGGAATTTCACTGTGAGAAGGGCTCCACCTTCCAGTCCAGCCCCTTCTATTAGGAAAGTGGCCTCAATCCAAGATATTTATGTTTAGTACAGCTTACTGCTTTCTAGAAGATAGAATTTCTGCCTCAAGTGTTCTAGAGTTTGAAAAACTATTCTTCAAGTTTTGAAACATGAAAATGAGTGATACTAGTCCTCTTGAAAACATTTGTTTTAATTTATCCATGAGACCATGTTTTAAGGCTTCCCTTTTTAATAGTTATTTGTTTAATAGTTATATTGTATGAATTATAATTGTTCTTAATAATAAAAGCTCAGAGTCAGCTGTCAGTGGGTGAAAGCTGAAGGATCAGAGAAGTGGAGCAGCCAGTCACTTGTTCTTACCTCTTCCCAATGCTCAGAAGGGGGCAATCCTGACCTCAGATTGTGTCCTCAGGCTGCGTCCTCAGACTGTGTCTTCAGACTGCCTCCTCAGACTGTAACATGAAGGCCTGGTTATTTGTGTTTTCTGTCCTACCTGGTTCCCCACAGCTGTTTAGCCCCAAAGAAAAATCATACAGAGATCTATATAAGTTAGAAAGCTGATTGGCCCATTAGGTCAGGCTACTTATTAGCTCTTGTAGCTTAAATTAACCCATTATTCTGATCTATGTTAGTCATGTGGCTCAGTACCTTTTTCTGTGGGGCAGATCACATCCTGCTGCTTCAGTGATCTGGGTAGGAGTGGGAGGAATCAGCTTCTTCCTTCCCAGAATACTTCTGTTCTCATTGCATCATTTCTGCTCCCTGTCTGGTTTTTCCACCTATACTTCCTGCCTGGCCAATCAGCGTTTATTTAAAACATGATTGACAGAATACAGACAATTCTTCCGCACCATCAGACTGTGTCCTCAGACTGCACTAAGCTCCTGTCTCCTTCCACCTTATATTCCTCTCTCCACCCAGCCATATCTCTCCTGTCTCCACCTCCCTAGTGCTGGGATTAAGGGCATGGGATCCCAAATGCTGGGATCACCCTTATGTGAACTGTTTCTTTTTTAGACTGGATCAATTTTATGTAGCCCAGGAAGGGCTTGAACTAACAGAGATCCCTCTGCTTCTCTCTCCTGAGTCCTGGGATTAAAAGCATGTGCCACCACTGCCTGACCTGTAATGACTTAACTCTGCACTCTGATCTTCAGGAAAGCTTTATTTGTTAAAACACAAGCAAAATATTACCACATTAATGAATTCAAACTCCTTACTCATTGATTTGTTCAGAGTTTCTACCTATTCATGATTCAGTCTTGGAAGCTATAATTCCTTCCTTCCTTCGTCTCTTCCTTCCTTGCTCCCTTCCTCCCTCCCTCCTTCCCTCTCTCTCTCTCTCTC